TCTAATGCTAAAAAGTTCTACTGATCTAGGACTTATAGTCACGAAATTAGGATGGCTAGCGGTAGATCACTTTTACTGTTTATTATGTTCCTTCTGTTCTCTGGTGTACGTCTGTAGATAAATCTGGGGAGGTCTTTTTGCGCTAAGACGTCTAGCGTCCTTAAATGAGCGGTATTAGTACTGTTTTACAGCGTCTAAAAATTTTACGGCGGTATAAATAGTTTGTTCCGGCGTAAGTTAGGGGCGTAACAAGACGGCGTGGTCGTTCAACTCATAATCACTCCTCAATTGAGAGGAACTGCACAGCAGTAGTCAGACGACAGAGAAGTAAGTCATTACACTGTGGAAAGGTTTATGAGAGAAAAGCACTCCCGCGGATGATCGATCTTGCGCACTTCATCGGATGTTCTAACTTCGACACAGTCTATTGCTTGCTCAACTTACTTTGTCTTACTCAGCCTCTCACCGCCAACATGCACATATAGCTACTACTGCTCTCGTATCACACACACCATGCGACACCAACACACGCACACCCGACACACACACACACACACACACACACACACTACACACGGACACTACACACACACACACACACAAACAACACACAGCACACTAACACAGCACACACACCACAAACACACACACACACACCACACACCAGATTTCACACAACACACACAGCTATACACACACACAGACAGCACATCACACTATTTGACGGTAGACGAAAAGTAACTTATTGCCAAGACCTTATCCATATCTCCCAGACTATATTGTGACGCACCGCGACACCTCCCCAAGTCACCCCGTCCAAACCACTCGCGCATCCCAACCTGATCTTTATTCCCTGTCAAGAAGAGTAAGAGCTAAGTGATGCTTACGTTTGACGCGACAATAAGAACAAGGGACGCCGTGAATAGTCACCGTGAAAGCGAATATGACAGCAAAGTACCAGCACGTACCGACCCTTGCAATGTAACTGGAAAAAATAAAAGGTAGAGGCGACATTTCAAATTATAACAGCTACAATAGACAAGTCCCATTATAAGAAAACGGCCGTCGACGGCACCCCACCCACCAGAAAAAAGCTCGTCGGTAAAACATGAACAGTCATTAACTAGCAGGGGAAAACAGAGGGAACTGAACGATCAAAAAGGGGAACGAACGATCAGAAACCTAGAAAGAACTTTCAACCTGGCACCCCACTTGAGCCTTATAGTAGTTAGACCACACCTACAGAATAGAAAAAGAACTAAGGAAGTTCGTTCGCACATGAATGAATACAAGGCAGCCTCATTCCATAAGCCTCACAGGGACCAGGTCTATACCAATAAAGACAGGAATGGAACCACACAGCTCGCGACCGACACAGCCACCCTACGCCTTGCAGCACGCGGACACGTTGACGCACCAGCCTCAACAGACCGCGGAAGGCTCCCGCCGCAGCCGCTCGACGAGGAGCCGAACACAAAGAGGACAGGGCCAGTTGGAGCTGAGCACGCGGAGTACCCGGGGACGGTAGAAAAGTTGGACCCCCTGCTCCAGAGGGCGAAGCAACCGGCGTAGAAAGCAATAGGGTCGCGACACTTTAGTAGTAAGAGAGAGAAAGAGACTGCTCGCCAGTTTGTATATGAGCAAGTTAGAGGGAGGAGCTTACGAAGAATCAGACTACCATGTCTCGTCTTTACTCAGACGAGTCAAGCGTCACGAGGAACTGTTATTACAGTGTGGCCCGAGTAAAATGCCTCAGTACATCAGATTACAAAGTGGGAACGAGTCCGGACTGCAGGAGTGAACCACAATACCTCGTAAATAACATATTATCACAGGAAAGGACGAAATACACTTTTGAACTTAATTCTATTATAAAATTGGACAAAACGTTTCTCACTGAAACTGCAGGAAATAGGGCAAGGAACGTGAATAAAAACCAGGACACAGTTACAGTCGTATTTTGCCCGTAACAACCCTACTACCGGACGCACTAACGGCCACTGCGGTAAGATCGGAATAAGAATGTCTACGGGACTCGAATACGTTATCTCAGTAACGGCGACTTTTTTACAGCAGCGCCACAGTCACGCAGATAGCTATGCGTGCCCTATTCAGAATCAAACCCGCAGGAGCGCGGTATACTGTATGAAGGTCTAAGAAAGAGTCCATGAGAGTGAACAGTCATCAGTACGAGACCCACGGTAAGAGATCTTCCGACTGCCGGAGCACATTCTAATACACATCGTGGATGTCTGCAAACGAACCTAACAACACTCCCCCTACAAAGGACAGATGTACAAGTAGACGATCTGTTGCACAAAGGAGAGGCTATATGTAACGTGACCAAGCACCCTTCTTCAAACATTAGATGAACAGCGACGCGAGCATGCCGATGGACTACGATAGTCCCGCCCAAACAAAGTTCGCAAGGAGACGCAGCTCCGTCCGGTAAAAGTTGAAGGACCCAAACAACTACAAGCCAGCGGACCAACCCACCGAAGACGCACTCAACCCGACTCTGATCCTATCCTGAATTGCTTTGAACTCCAGGGACAAAATCTGGCCGACTTGTCTGATCCTGGATCACAAAAAATGGGATTTCAAAATCTGATCGGATCTGATTGAGATTAAAAGTTTTGAACTCCTGGGCCCTAGAGATAAAGATTTAAACTAATGTATCATGTAGTTTGAGATGGATCCTACATTCCTTCCAAACCCCACGTTGCCGTGCGTACGTGACTCACTTGATGATTTTGCTCTCAAACTGCTTGGCACTCCTCCACTTGCGAATGCACTTTAGACAGTAGCAGTGGCAGCAGTTGGAGAGGATGCCGAAGCGCCGCTCGCTGGGGTTGGCCTTCTCGAACACCACCTCCATGCACACGCCGCACATCATGTCTTTGCTGCGTTGGATGGCAAACGAAATCTCCATGTCTTTCTCATGGGCCTCGATGCATGCCTGGGAACAGTTAAACCAACACATCATGACCTTTTTCTACATTTAACATCCATCTCCCGCTGATAAAGTGTTCATATTGGCTCTAATGTTAAAATCCTGTTCAGACAAGAGTAACAAATACTCCACATCATTCAATTTAAATACAGCACAGAAGCAGCCATGGTCCTGGTCAGGAAACAAGTTGAATTGACTCAAGTTGTGTTCCGATGCAACGCCATTTTGTAACTTGTAAAGGTATTATAAAGTCCTTTTGTCTTTGATTTCTGGGTTTTGTCCCCCTCTGCTTGCTAGTCTTGCAGATCTGCTCTCCTTGAAGGTGGGACCGTGGCTGCAGGTGACTCGGAAAAATACACAACTAAAATCTGGTGCTGAGAAATGTCATATAATCTTTTATATCTGACTTCTCTTAAGCAAAAAGCAGTGTACAAAATTCACTAATAATGATTCCAGTTCAGAGAGTAAAGAGTATTCCAGGAAGTGTTCCAACTGGCTCCACAGATATGGTTATTTCTGTAACCCTTACCTTGGTGTGGTCGGAGCGCTGGCTGTTGTCGGTGGGATGGAGAACCTGGAGGCCGCACATGTCGCACACGTCGCCGTGGAGATACGCACAGTTGATGCCATAGCGACACTCTCCGACAGCCGCGTACGGACAGAGCTGCTTCCTCAGCGCTTTGTTGTCCTGCGACGCCTCCCGGTCCAACTCCTCGATGAGAGGGACGGAGGTCTCTCCCTTCACTGGCTCAGCTGTTGGGGAAATATGATGACTGTTATTTAGTGACACAGAGGAAAAATAACTTCAATGCATCAATGCCTTCTCCAGCAGATGAGGAGAATCTGATCCGAGGACCTTAACTTATCAGACAGGCTTCAGAATGTTAAGTTTCAACTTGCACTCAACATATTCATAGTTTGAGCTATTCTTGTATTAGTGTCATTTACACTTGGTTGAAAAACAAACAAACAAAATATAACTTTGAAGTGAATTTTGAAGTCCTTTTCCCGTGACCTTGCCTATTTAAGATTGTATTTAAAAGCTTAATAAACCCAGCCAAATGGACCCATGCAGCAAAGGTACTGTATATCAAACTATGATGGACAAAAAGGATTAATAGAAGACTCAATGAGGAGAATAACCAGGCTTTGATTCAGTTCAGACGTTTTTGTCGGTACTTTTTATTAAAGATTGTCCGGCATTTAATTCCCCAGCGTTCTGTACTTTCTGTATCTCAAACATGTTGCCAGTTGTCAGAATCTCCACTAGGCGACACAAGGTTTGACAGAAGCCTGTGGGTTCATAACTGTTGATACAGCGTTAGCCTTGGCTTGAATTGATAGAGGGAAGAGATGGTTCTCTGTCTCAACATGTCTCATACTGCTGACAAACAACAGTGTGTCATCACCAGAAATAACAACATTTGCACTGGTTAACAAAGTGGAGAGGAAGTTTGAGTACTACTACTACTTCGCATCCAGAGCTAATGCGCTAACGCTAACGCTAAACCTGATGACATTAACGCTGTAATGTTTCACAAAAGACGATATAAAAAACATAATGCGTGCGAGGCAGGAAACATTTCAAACCTCACCAAGGATTTGACTTCAAGATGTCTCAAAGGAGTACAGAACACATCAGGTTAGCGAGTGAGCTATCTGGCTGCTGGTTAGCGAGCTGGCAGGATGTAATAACGGAAGACCTAGCGCATCGTTAGCATATTGATGTCAAGCTGGTCCCTCACCCCGTCCACAGTATGGTTGTCCTGGAACGAACTCGGCAGCGTTGACCCAGTCTTGTGCCCCTGAACCAGGCGTTGGCCCACTGGGCTCTGGGTCTGATGAGCCGGCAGGCGAGGCAGTGGGCAGCGGCAGCGTCTGTGTGGTTGGCAACTCCTCGTTCTTTTCCGGTTTACAGTGTTCAAACCTGAGGGGGCAAACATGAGCACACTTGTTACGGTACAAACCATCTAATGTCCCACGGCACTAAAGCTGGGAAGTTATATCCAAAGTGATGGGGAAAAAAGGAAAAAGCTGAAATACAAACTTACAAAAAAGGTGAATGAAGAAAGCTTCTACTTTTGAATAAGAGCTATTCCAAAGGCTATATTTGTTTTTTTCCAGTTGATAAACCGTTATTTACTTGGTCCCTCACACATGCATGAATGGGATGAAAATGACTTCGGACTTAATTGTGGGTACCATATCGTTATGATACTTTACCAAAATAAAAATAGTCAAAATAGCTCTCTTCTTTCCCATTGTCTATATACATTTTATAGGGGTGTCACAATTCTTCAAATCCACAATTCCATATTATTTCAACATCGCCGAGTAGTCTTGATTTGATACATTTTAAAAATATGTCACAGGTAACAAAGCTACATGGTATTAAGTGTGAAATAAATAAATGGATTTGGATGAATTATTATAAATGACGAAAACATACAATTATTTTACTTTCCTCACATTTACCACACTCCGTTGAAAATAAGAGTAGTTTAAACATTTCCTCATAGATCCTGGTAAAACTAAACGTATTCAAACTCCTCAGGAACAAAAGGAAAACTGTCTTTGTTTGCTTTTCCACAGTTACAACAATCACTATCTCTGGTTTAAAAGAGAGTCTGAATAAGTGACAGATAAAAAGAAAAGAGTATGGATCAGTCACGGACAGTAACCACTGTTTACTAACGTTCTGTTGAAAGGGACTGTACTGTTGTACATTGTCAGCAAGAGACATAGCACTAAATATGGGCATTGTCCTTGTAGTGACCATAAACTAGAGGAGAGAAAAAACAGAAAACAAACAAAGCACGTGCTCTGGAAATGAGTCCATTGCCTATTTTTAGCAGGTTCTCACTCATTTAAAAAAACCTCAATATATGCACTAGATTTGGTTAAAAAAAAAAGGGTATATTTGAGGATAAAAAGAACTGTTCCATTTCCTTTCCATCACACATTTGTGTATCCCCTATTTGCTTATGGACACAGGATAATGAAAAAAGGGCCTCCTCGTAACATATAGCAGCATGGATGTATAAACCAGAATCACAATGACAATGAATGGACGTACATCCCTGATGCTAACAGACCCTCATCTGTCCACATGGACCTGTCTGCCAGTGTAGAAACAAAGCAACTCAACTCCATAGCTACCACAAAGCATGACTAACAGCCAGCGCTCACACAGCGGTACAAAAGGAGCAACTGGCCTATCTCTCTCCTTCAGCCTCCACCAGCGCTCCATCAGAACACACTGTTAACCAG